CTGCAGCGCCCGCAAGGTCCCCCTGCTCAAGAAAGCACATATACAGGGCCGTCTGAAGTTTGCCAATGAACATCTGAATGATTCAGAGGAGAACTGGGGGAAAGTGTTGTGGTCAGATGAGACCAAAATCGAGCTCTTTGGCATCAACTCAACTCGCCGTGATTGGAGAAGGAGGAATGCTGCCTATGACCCCAAGAACACCATCCCCACCGTCAAACATGGTGGTAGAAACATTATGCTTTGGGGGTGTTTTTCTGCTAAGGGGACAGGACAACTTCACCGCATCAAAGGGACAGGCCATGTACCGTCAAATCTTGGGTGAGAACCTCCTTCCCTCAGCCAGGGCATTGATAATGGGTCGTGGATGGGTATTCCAGCATGACAATGACCCAAAACACACGGCCAAGGCAACAAAGGAGTGGCTCAAGAAGAAGCACATTAAGGTCCTGGAGTGGCTTAGCCAGTCTCCAGACCTTAATCCAATATAAAATCTGTGAAGGGAGCTGAAGGTTCGAGTTGCCAAACGTCAGCCTCAAAACCTTAATGACTTGGAGAAGATCTGCAAAGAGGAGTGGGACAAAATCCCTCCTGAGATGCGTGCAAACCTGGTGGCCAACTACAAGAAACGTCTGACCTCTGTGATTGCCAACAAGGGTTTTGCCACCAAGTACTAAGTCATGTTTTGCAGAGGGGTCAAATACTTATTTTCCTCATTAAAATGCAAATCAATTTATAACATTTTTGACATGCGTTTTTCTGGATTTTTTTGTTGTTATTCTGTCTCTCACTGTTCAAATAAACCTACCATTAAAAGTATAGACTGATCATTTCTTTGTCAGTGGGCAAACGTACAAAATCAGCAGGGGATCAAATACTTTTTTCCCTCACTGTACACATCATATAAAGAGGATGGGTGAAGTGATGGTGAATAACCCAGTTACCAGTATTTCCCTGGGTTAGTTACGTATAAGAAGGCTAAAAAGGAAGTGTGGAATTCCTGATTGACCATAATGCCATGGCTATATACTGAAAAAAGAACAAGTAAGAGCGCTTTCCTGGTGGCACAGAGGATAAAAAAACCTGGCTTGGGAACCAAACATTGCAGGTTCAAACCCCACATGTGCAGACTGTGAATATATGAAGTGTAAAAAATATGGTTGTGTTTGTATGATTAAATGCTGTTCAAATGTCCTATGAATGAAATTAAAATGCCATGTGTCTCTATACCATCTTCAAATGTGAATTGCTATTAAATCTGGTGAGAAACATAATGGGGATGTATTCCAATCTGCTTTAAGGAGCTACACATTTTAATGCTGAGAATGTTGTGGTAATATTAGTTAAAACTAAAATATAACATTTTCTAAATGTTCTTGAAATGTTCTGAGGACCACCAATAAAAGGTAAAATGTATATTGGGTGAACATCACTGGAATAATATGTTAAACCTAAAACAAATATGCTATGAATGTCATACAGTGCCTTGCAAAAGTATTCATCCCCTTCATTTTTCCTATTTTGTTGCATTACAACCTGTAATTTAAATTGATTTTTATTTGGATTTCATGTAATGGACAAAATAGTCCAAATTGGTGAAGTGAAATGAAAAAAATAACTTGTTTCAAAAAATTCTAAAAAGTCAATAACGGAAAAGTGGTGCGTGCATATGTATTCACCCCCTTTGCTATGAAGCCCCTAAATAAGATCTGGTGCAAACAATTACCTTCAGAAGTCACATAATTAGTTAAATAAAGTCCACCTGTGTGCAATCTAAGTGTCACATGATCTGTCACATGATCTCAGTATATATACACCTGTTCTGAAAGGCCCCAGAGTCTGCAACACCACTAAGCAAGGGGCACCACCAAGCAAGCGACACCATGAAGACCAAGGAGCTCTCCAAACAGGTTAGGGACAAAGTTGTGGAGAAGTACAGATCAGGGTTGGGTTATAAAAAAATATCAGAAACTTTGAACATCCCACGGAGCACCATTAAATCCATTATTTAAAATTTTTTAGAATTTGGCACCACAACAAACCTGCCAAGAGAGGGCTGCCCACCAAAACTCACGGACCAGGCAAGGAGGGCATTAATCAGAGAGGCAACAAAGAGACCAAAGATAACCCTGAAGGAGCTGCAAAGTTCCACAGCGGAGATTGGAGTATCTGTCCATAGGACCACTTTAAGCAGTACACTCTACAGAGCTGGGCTTTACGGAAGAGTGGCCAGAAAAAAGACATTGCTTAAAAAAAGCAAACATGTTCTTTTTTTTTTTTTTAGGGGGAATGGATCAGCTTAATATTGCAGATAGATTGTATCTTCTATCAATGTAATTGTCTGCATCACTTCCAATCCCCCATGTTTTTTTTATATATATATATATATATATATATATATATATATATATATATATATATATATATACTCCCCTTTATTACTTTTCAACCCCACCATCCTTTCCCTACTTGGAGTAAATTAGTGAACAACAATGCCCAGGCCTCTACTTCCAGTCTATACTTACTATCTACACCTTATGGACAGAGTTAATTTTACAATAATTCTATTATATATATATATATATATATATATATATATATACACCTTTTTTTTTTTTTTTTCTTTGCTCCTGAACTTCTTCTACTCTCAACCTCTCCGATAATTTTCATGATGTCCATCCGGTTTGCTTCTATATGCCATATCTTTCTAACTGTGCTCTTTCCCAAAAGCTCCCAACATACAACCTATATACTTATTATGGACACAGTATGCTTACATTATTAGCTATCTTTGTTATTATTTGTTGTTATTTGTTATTAGTCCCATCCTTCAACTCTATTCAATACCTCCCATCTATCTCTTAACACCATCCATATAGGATTTCTATTTGCCATATATATTTCAACCGTACTGTGATGTTTTACAAAAGTTCTGAACCTTTCTATTCTCATTGCTTCTACAGATTGTGAATTAAAAATAAACATTTTTGCTAAAAGTATTATTATATTATTGATTGATTGACTATGACTTTTCAGATCACCCAGTAATGCTATCTGCAAGGTTAGTTCCAGGTGAATATTGCAATCCTTTAGCCATTCCTGGACCTGTGTCCAAAAACAAGCTACAAATGGACAGAACCAAAACAAATGATCTAATGATTCTGTCTCTTCACAGCAAAATCTGCAGAGCTGGGAAGATTGTATCCCCCATATAAATAACATTCCATTGGTAGCAATCATTTTATATAATAATTTAAATTGAAAGATTCAAATTTTTGAATCCGGTGTCGTTTTGCGTATCAGTTCATAAACACTATGCCATGGGATCGGTACGTCAAAGATCTCTTCCCAACTATTTTGCAATCTATATGGGACGGCTGTCAATCCTTTGGTCCTTAAGTGAAACTGATATACTTTTTTATTTATCACAGTTTTCCTTAACCAATTATGTTATTTAATGCAAGGCCGACAGACAAGTTCCTTACTTTCTCCCCCTTCCACTTTCCTCTTCCACTTTTGCGGTAAGGCTGCAATTATTTGGTTGTAATTTTGGGTAGAGCAGACATTTCCATATGTTTTTGTTAGCTGCATGTGCGTCATAACTCCACCAGTCCTACCGATGATATCATTTACGAAGATTATACCTTTTTTAAACATTCTGTCAAAAAATAAAGGTTTTTTGTCAATTAGTATATTTGAATTTAACCACAATATTTGTTGCATTATTTGTTCTGTCGTTTCTGGAGGATTAAATTGAAATTGCAACCAACTTTCTATAGCTTGTTTTAGAAATAGTGACATTTGGGAGATTATTTCCTTTTCAAATAACTGAAAGTGAGAGTTTGGTGTTTGCCAAAAGGCATGTGGAAGACTCCCCAAACATATGGAAGAAGGTACTCTGGTCAGATGAGACTAAAATTGAGCTTTTTGGCCATCAAGGAAAACGCTATGTCTGGCGCAAACCCAACACCTCTCATCACCCCGAGAACACCATCCCAGTGAAGCATGGTGGTGGCAGCATCATGCTGTGGGGATGTTTTTCATCGGCAGGGACTGGGAAACTGGTCAGAATTGAAGGAATGATGGATGGCGCCAAATACAGAGAAATTCTTGAGGGAAACCTGTTTCAGTCTTCCAGAGATTTGAGACCGGGACGGAGGTTCACCTTCCAGCAGGACAATGACCCTAAGCATGCTGCTAAAGCAACACTTGAGTGGTTTAAGGGGAAACATTTAAATGTCTTGGAATGGCCTAGTCAAAGCCCAGACCTCAATCCAATTGAGAATCTGTGGTATGACTTAAAGATTGCTGTACACCAGCTGAACCCATCCAACTTGAAGGAGCTGGAGCAGTTTTGCCTTGAAGACTGGGCGGGGGGGGGGGGGGGGGGGGGGGGTTGAATAGTTATGCACGCTCAAGTTCTGTTTTTTTGTCTTATTTCTTGTTTGTTTGACAATAAAACATATTTTGCATCTTCAAAGGGGTAGGCATGTTGTGTAAATCAAATGATACAAACCCCCCCAAAATAAATTTTAATTCCAGGCAACAAAATAGGAAAAATGCCAAAGGGGGTGAATACTTTTGCAAGCCTCTGTACAAACTGACTTATTTGGAAATTGTGGAACATTGTGGAAATGTTTAAAGAACATATGACATGTGTTCTAGGAAAGTTGCAACATCAGGTGAATGTTTTATACAAACCTTCTATAATCATCAGCATGACTGGACAGTTTCTGTGTTATGACAACATTTCCACAACCTTACACATTTTCTTACAGGAACAATTAGGGATAAGTGCCTTGCTCAGACATATTTTTCACCTAGTCGGCTTAGGGATTTCAACCAGCAACCTTTTGGTTACTGGCCCAACGCTCTTAACCGCTAGGCTACCTGCCACCCAATCAGACCTGCAACCGCGGCCTCAGCTGTGCAGTCAAGTGTTAAACAATGGAACAGCTGTCGAGAGCGGCGGCAGCTCCAGAAATAGAGCTGTCCATTTCACCGGTCTGTCTCACACCTGTGTGCTGTGCAGGCCGGGGAGAGAGAGTGCAAGGGCTAGGCCAAAGAGAAGGCTGTGCAGCCAGAGAGGAAACCGAAACAAGAGACAGGCACAAAGATAAACACACAATCGTAAACATACACACACACACACACACAGGAAATGATGAGGCTGACTCACCGATCATGTGATTGGCGACGTGGATCTGGATCTCCCGCTCTGTCTCGAAGGTCATTTGGCATTTGATGCACTGGTACGTCTTCTTCTGCAATGCAACAGACAGGTAGACAAGAATTTCAGAGAGGTTATCAAATTACTTTTTCATTCACAGCCGGCGTGTGCGCACACACACACACACACACACACACACACGCGATCTCCTGATACAAACAGAATGTACTGGGGGGGGGGGATTCTGAGGTTTCTCCTTGCTGTTACATTGAGCTGAAACAAAGGCACAGGTAAAGATTGAGCGTCCCTGGGACCACACTGTCAATATCTAGTGGAGCGAACAGGCCGTACAATGCCTCAGCCGGGCTGAGCAGCAGGTCCCACTAGGGCCCACTGAAACGCAGCCATGAATTCACACATCTAACTGAGCACGACTTCTTACTGACACACTACCCACTGGGAACAGACACATTGCTAGAAAATACTGCTAAAATATTAGGGATTTTAAAAAGTAGGAACAACATTTCAGATCACTCAAAAAGCATTAGGAAAGAATGAATAATATGAATTTGCTTTTAAGTTTTAATCAATTCACTAGATGTTTCTAAATGCAGGGCCATTTAACTTTTTGTTGGATTGGTAATGTGTTATATTTCTTTTATACCGCAGAGGACAATGTTGGGTACTCACTATGTGATTGATTTATCAATTACTAAATTAAACATAAGTTGTTTACCTTAACCTTAGAATTTTCACATATTGTATGTAGATTTTAATATAAAATCAGTATGCTGAGCCATAGTGGAGAATATGGTGAAAGTGTTCTTACTTTAGGGACAGGCGAGGCATCCGTCACCTTCTTGGCCCCACTGGTCTCCAGGCTCATCTCGGGGTGGTCCACCTGAACGTGGCTCTCCAGGTCCTCCAGGGTCTCAAACTTCACAGCACACTCGGGGCATCGCAGCCCCGGCACAACCTTCTCTCCCCCGGCCTCCTGGGGCGTGGTGCCCCCGCTGGGAGACTGGCCATTGGTAGCCCGGCTCATACAGCCAGCACACAGCCCATAGGGCAGCCCGTTAACATCCAGCTTCAACAGCTCCTGCTTGTTCTTGAACTCCTTGAGGCACAGGGCACACTTGTAGTGCTTGTGTTGTTGCAGCTGGCCATTGGGGGAGGAGGAGGCTGAGCCACCCCCGCCCCCGCTGCCCCCACCGGAAGAGAGCTTCTGCATGTGGAAGGTGCCGTGGATCTTGAGCTCCAGGGTGGAGGTGACCGTCTGCATGCACACCACACAGCGGAAGCCCGTCAGAGAGTTTCTCAAGTCTGGGTGCATCTGGCAGTGCTCTATGAAGTCCTCCTCGCTCTGCAGGGGCATCTTACAGATGCGGCAGGTGCCTGTGTCTAGGCTCTTGCTGTGGGTGACCTTGTGTTCGGTGAGCGTGAGCAGGGAGGGGAAGCGCTCTCCACAGATGGGGCACATGTAGTGCTTGGCTGGGCCACGGTGGGTCTGGGCATGCTCCCTCAGGCCGTTCTCGGAAAAGAAGGTCCGTGAGCACACGTTGCACTTGTGGTTGCCCTTGATGAAGTCTGCCTTCTTCTTGCGGCTGCCGGCGTCGTCGTCCCCGGGCTGGATGTTGTGGTCCCTCAGCCGGTGGTTCTGCAGAAGACTCTCCATGGTGTAGGCTGCCCCACAGATATCACAGGCGTACATGGGCTCTGAGTTGTCCAGCTCCTCCTCTCCTCCGCTGACCTCGTGGCTGTTGGCTATGTCCTGGCTGGCATTCTTCAGCAGCATGCTCTGCAGGTCAGCCTGCTCTGTGGCCACTGTCGATCTTTCGCCTCCTCCCCCACGCTTGGAGCTCTGAGTCACCCCGTTGGGTGTGCCGTTCTGGCTGCCCCCGTTCCCGGTGCCGTTGCCCCAATCGAAGACACAGTGCTTCTCCCTCAGATGCCTCTCCAGCAGCACAATAGCATGGAAGGCCTTGCCACAGAAGCGGCAGTTGAACTTCTTACTGTGGGTGGTGATGTGGCACTGCAGTTCCACCTCTGTGCCGAACGTCTCCCCACAGAATATGCACTTACGGGCCTTGCCGGCGACCCCAGGGCCAGTGGGGTGTCCCAGGTGGCTGTGCTTGACATGCAGCTGGAGGTCACTCTCCTTCCGGAAGTCCCAGGCGCAGGCTGTGCAGCGGAACATCTTCTTCTCATTGCTGTGCTTGACAGCAAGGTGGACCTGGATGGACACCTTGGAGTCAAACACCTCCTGGCACAGTGTACAGTGGTACAGCACAAAGGTGTGCATGTCCAGCAGGTGCTTCTGCAGGTCGTCTACAGAGGAGAACTGCTTATCACAGCTCTCACACACGTACTGGGTGGACGTGGTGGTGTAGTGGACCGTCAGGTGCTGCAGCAGAGACTCTTGGGAGTCGAAGTCCTCTTTGTTGCACTGCGGGCAGGACTGCCTCCTCAGCAGCATCTCCAGGTGGGACTTGAGATGGGCCTGGAATCCCTCGAAGCTGCTAAAGTGTAGGTCACACTGGTTGCAGGGGTAGTCTCCATTGAAACCTGCTAGGGTAGAGTCCCCAGCCAGCCTATGGCGTTTGGGGGAGGAGATTTCCACATCAGACGAGGCAGGGCTAAGGTCTGCTACCTTGGCTTGCCGCTTGTTATTGGCCAGTGGGATGTTCTTGTGGTTCTCCTTGATGTGCTTGGTCAGCTTGAGCAGGGAGCCAAAGATGGGCGAGTTGGTGCAGTATGGACAGGAGTAGACCTCCATGAAGGACTGGGAGGGCTGCAGGACGGGGGACTCCATCTTGGGAACACCTCCTCCGCTGCAGTGTGTCTGCTGGATGTGCTCTGTGAGAGAGGACTCTGTGAGGAAGCCCATGGAGCACTGGTTGCAGAAGAAAGCATGGTTGCCCTCCAGGGTGGTGGAGCCTGCAACCATTCCTCCAGGCAGACAGTGGGACATGCGTATGTGCTCCTGCAGGGTGTTGATGTCTGCAAACATGTCTGGGCAGTAGTTGCAGTGGAAGGCCGACACGTTGGTGAACTGGAGCAGGGGGAAGGCCGCTGCAGCGCCCCCGCTGCCTCGGTGGGCTTTGCGGACGTGCTCGTTGAGGTTGTAGAGCGTGGGCAGGGTGTCCAGGCACAGCTGGCATGTGTGGTTCTGCTGGGGCTTGTCTGCATGGATGGTCTTCAGATGGATCTCCAGAACGGCCAGGCTGTTGAAGTCTCTCTTGGAGCAGTAGGGGCAGCTATAGGTCACCTTGGCCATCCAGTGACCCCCATCGTCATGGTCAGAGTTGGGGGCCAGCTTACGGCGGCTCTGGGTGGGTTTCAGGGTGGAGTCAGGGGTGGAACCCCTCTCCAGAGAGGCACTGGAGTCTGGGGTGGCGCTGCTCATGGATGCCACGCTGCCCAGCACTGGGTCAGGGCTGGCACTGTGGTTACTGGAGTCAGGCTGGCGGTGGCTGTCCAGATGGCAATATACGTCCTCCACAGAGGGGAACTGCTCCGAGCACACAGGGCACTTGTGTTTACGGTTGGCGTGGGACTTCTCGATGTGGGAGAGCAGCGGGCCCTCGTCGCTGAAGATCTCAGGGCAGTGGATGCACTGCAGGTCAACGCGGTCAGACAGCTGGGGGTGGCGGGTCACTACGTGCTTCTCCAGCTCATCTGTCTGGCTGAAGGTCTCCTCACAGTAGTCACACATGTACGGGTCCTGGTCCATCTCCCCTCCACTGCCTGCATTGCTGCCACGCTTCCCCCCTTCCTTTTCAGCACGCAGGGCAAGGTGCTCCTTGTTCTTCCTGTGAGCCTGCATGTGGCTCTGCAGAGAGGACGTGGAGGAGAAGCCTCTCTTGCAAACACTGCACTTAAAGGGCTTGCTGGAGCTGTGGGTCTTCAGGTGGATCTTGAGATGGTCGCTACGGGAGAAAGCCGCCTCACACTCCTGGCAGCTGTACTTCTTGTCTCCGGTGTGGAGCTTAACGTGGCGGTCGCGGCTGCGCTTGTGCTTGAACAGGCGGCTGCAGAAGGTGCACTTGAAGGGCAGCTTGTCGCTGTGGATCTGCTCGTGGCGCTTCAGGTAGCTGAGGCGGCTGAAGGACTTGTCGCAGAACTGGCAGGGGTAGGGCAGCCCCGCGCCCCCTTCTTCCTCCCCTGTGCCCATGCCCAGATCGCAGCAGCCATCCCCCAGCATCTGTGACGGCGATGCCACATCTTTGCTAGAGGGAGAGGACGCTACCCAGGAGAGCCCAGGGTCATCATCACCATCTGCAATGCAAAACACAGACAGAATTAAAATGTTAGTGAGGACAAGAAATAAAATCTAAATAGAAGCTAAGAATTAAAGACATGTATTCCCACAGGATTGAAGAAATAAGGACAAAGTGTATTTTCTCTCTCTTCATCATCCCTTAGCAAACATCCCTCACTCCCCTCTAGAATTACATCTGCCTCATCATATTTTCATTATAGGGACCAGATTGACATTCCAAAAACCTATTAGAAGACGCTCAAATAGTGAGGGTATTCTTATATAACAAAGTGAATGAAATAAAACATGGGATTATGCATGCTTTTCTCCAGTTTAGTGCAGACAAAAGGGAAAGTCTATTAATGCATACATAATATAAATATATACAAAGCAGAGCATATATTCATTCTGTCCTGCTTTGTGCATTCTGAGGAGGCCTGACAGCCCACCCGTCATCCATTTAGCATCTAAACTAGAGCCCTCTGAAAAGAGGAGAGGAGAGGAAAGTAGAGTAGAGTAGAAGAGAGGAGAGGAGGAGATGGGAGAGGAGAAATCCTCATGACTTATTGAGCAGGAATGCTGTGAGCCTGGATCCCACGGTGGCTCAGACAAACCCAGAATTCTCCAGCTCAGCCGGTTTGTTTGCTTTATTTGACTGCGTTTTACGCTCTGCTCTAAATGGATGAATAGAGAAGCCTCTGGTATTCCTCATCACACATAACCACATGTTTACAATAAGTAAACAGCCTCCCCCTTTCCCCACATACTACATCTTATAAAACACTATTTTTTGTAAACTAGTCTGTAGCTGGATACCATGAGACTGCATCTCATTTTGGCATGAGCACTCTCAAATAAATGACTGTCTTCTCAATGTTATTATGTAACAAAACAAAAAAAGTATAATGTTGCTGCAAAGAATATTTAAATATTGACAAAAACATGTATCTAAGAGAGAGAATAGCCTAACCTTGAAAGCACTTGGTGTAGACTTATCCCTGCAAGCAACTGTGAGTTTGTATCCCCTCCCACCACCCCTCCTACAGTATGTGTGTTATACAAAGGTGTGCAGAGCATATTTGGTTGAAAATAAATTCATGTGATGAATCGATGCACTCTAAAATGTAGGTGGTGTGCAGAGCAAATAAAACTCCACAGGGGTTTGTGGGTACTTTTTTTTATAAAAACATGAATTATGAATTTAGCTTGGAGCAAGGAAAGAATCCTACGCTGTAAAAGACTATAAAATAGAGATATCACATGGAGCATCAAGGCAACAGGAGAGAGATGCCATCCAGCAGCACATTTCAGGAGAGGAATATTACAGGATCAGTACAAATTAAGAAATGAGCATGAACGAGAAAGGACAGAGATAGTGAATCAAAGATGTTAGAAAATGTAATAAGAGGATTTGTTCAGGAGACACTAACAATTACTGAAATTGGTCTATTTATTTCCTACAGCCCATACCAGGAGCACACTGCTTTGTTCAGTACATACATCTAAACACACATTTTATTTTTGAGCCCAGAAGTGTAGTAACTGGAATTGCTTGAATAGATTGTGTGTGTGATGTATTTATATGTGTGTGTGTGAGAGTGATGGAGGGGAGAACAACTCTGTTTCTCAGATTACAGTTCAGGCCTGTACACCACTGTCTCCACAGCTGGGGTGTCTGGACAAGCCCCTCCCTATTGTAGCCACTCCCCCCAGTCCTCCTCTCATGTCTTTGTGTCCGTGTCAGAATAAGAGTAATCCTGACACAAGTTAAACCCCGGCAACACAGGAGAGAGAGAGGCCCCAAGAAAGTGAGGGGAAGAAAAGCCCAAAGGGCCTTAACTGAGGTGAATTCTTTGGCTACACAATGAAAGCGTGGCCCCTGACAGGCTGGTCTCTGATGTGAGCCGAGCGGAGGTGAGAGAGCAGAGGGGAGAGCTGCTCACGACTGACAGGTACGCCGTCCTGCTGAGCCCCAGCCATGTACTGCACCACAGCACACCACATACAAAGGAACACTTGCTTGAGCATAAAAAATATATATAAATAAATAAGATAACTAAGAAGTAGAGGAGGAGGAGGGAGAAAGAATGGTGAGAGAAGAGAAAAAAAACTCCTGGCACATGTGGTCATTCTGGCAAATTATAAATCTATTAATGCTAATGCAATCCCTCTGACTGCGACAGAATGTGAGAAATCACTTTGAGAAAGAAGGAGATTATAGTCATTAAATAGCCTTAATCCTCAGAAGTGTGGCTGTCGGAAAATGGAAGATCACATGGCTTTTAGAGGGCTTTTGTCATCCGTCCGCCGGGGGACTTGGCAAGAGCACTAAACAGGGTTAGAAATGTCTATGAAAAGTTAAATTAGAAAAGAAACCGAAAAGAAAGAGGGGGAAAGACGAGGGGGAAGCCGAGAGAAAAGCGAGAAAAGACTGGAATGGGCACGCAAACACATGCTGCTCCCATGTCTCCTCGCTCCAGCGTTCCCGAGTGCAGCCCTGACAGTTTCTCCATCTTTATCTCGCCCTCCACGTCCATTCCCCACTCCGTCCGCCCACGTCTTTCATGTTGTGACTCATTACTGAATTAACAGGCTGCAGTCGTGGCTGCCCCTGGCGCTGGCCTTCACCTCTGCTGCCCTGGCCCATGTGGAGGGGTGGGGACTGGCAGGGAGGAGGGGAGGGCCTGGCAGATGGAGACACTCTGAAGACCAGAAGAAGAGCGGCCATCCCACCTCCAACTAGGGCACAGTAATTGGAACCGGCCGAACAAAACACATGGCCAAAGAAGAAGGCCCAAACTCAGCTCTACGCGAGCCTGAGCAGAGTGGTGGTGGATGGAGCATGGATGGCCACTTTGGTGTGAGGTTCAAGAGAAGGCCCCATGCCGCACCACCCCCCACCTCCACCACCATGCTCCATCCAGGCTGGGCCGGCCCGATGACGCCTGTCCCCCTCTAATAGGCTGGCCAGCCAGCCGGCATGCTGAGGCCAGAGCTTGGAGGAAACACGGTAATGAAGACGCGCCCAGCCTGGCATCCCCAGTCTCTTGCCCGCTCTTCCCCTCATCAGACACGAGGACAAAGGTCGGTCTCCCCATGTCCCCCATCCCAAAACCCTGCCAACCCAGAGAACCTGCTTTTGTGGCTTCTCCTCTGAAGTAGAGTAGAAACACAGCCTCAGATAGTAGCCAGGCTGTTCATTAGAGCAGGACGCCTCCAGGAGGCCAGTACTGATGATGGCACACGCTCCCTCTGCTTTCACATGATGTCCACAACACTGGCAGACAGACAGACTGACAGACTGACAGACTGACAGACTGACAGACTGACAGACTGACAGACTGACTGACAGACTGACTGACTGACTGACTGACTGACTGACTGACTCCTTCCTTCATGTCCATCGGTTACAACCAGCTTTCAAGACACCAAAACAATGTGATCATTAATAATCTGTCCTATCAACTGTAATGCCACTAAACCTGTTCTATATGCATATGGAGATAATCTGCAGTGTCAACGTGCTCCCTCGGGTGGAAAACAAGAGCAAACAGCCAGCTTGACTGGGCTGACATCATCTATCTGTTAAGACTTGATTAGAAGCAGGGGTCTGTTTATAGGAGTTTATAGAAAACAGCAGTCTGGAACTCAGGAGAACCGTGGTGTCACTATTATATACGCTTTACATCTTGTCAACAACACACAACATGGTTTGAAGAGTAAAACTGAAGGCTCTTGGTTGCTGTAGCCCTCCAGGAGGTCAGAGAGTGAGACAACATGAGTCAGGGAACAGAACTGGATTATGCTGGTCCAGCTAAGTAGTGAGCAACTTCTAGAACAGTTTACAGCAGGGATCATCAACTATATAGATTCAGCCGCGGGCAGAATTTTTCTTGAGTTGATGGTCAGGAGGCCGGAACATAATTACAAATAATTTGTAGACTGCAAATTGACCACAAGAAGCCCAAACGGATATAATATTTGACTAAAACATAATCATTTCAAACCTTGCTTACATTTGTATATGACCAAATCCCCCACCTTCACCTGGATTCACCTGGTCAGTCTATGTCATGTGTTTTGTACACCCAGTGTATATCTCCCTATTATGAGTGGGAATACTTTGGAACAGTTTTCCCAAATTAAAATCACTTAGAGCTGATTTTCTGGTGTTTTTAGTCTTATGTCCAACAAAAAAAACAAGCGCCGGCCACCCTGAGTGTGTGTGTTTATCATACATGCTCACCTCGTCACATTCCCCTGCCCTCCACTCACACCCCTCCTTCTCCCTAACTAACATTTCCACCTTTGAGTCTGGCTCCCTGCCCAAACATCCACCTTTCCCACCAAGCCCCCTGCCTGGCTTCCAACCCCATCCCCTTGGCCCCCTTCCCATGGCCCCAGGCAGCAGAGACACACCGTAGGGGGCAGAAAAACAACTTCCACCCAGGTCTCTGACATGGCAGCGCAGCACGCATGCCAGACAAGCCTGGAGCAAAGGACAGACCGACAGGAGGAATATAACTTTCAAGAGGAGAACCTCTCCACTTTTCAGCTTTCTTCTCACCTCTCCTCCTCTCCACTCTTCCTCACCAGCAATCCCATCCTTTCCTTTGACTAATTATCCCCTCAACTTTTTGGGGGTAAAATTCTCAACCTAAAGCCTGTGTTATACTTAATTAACAAGGACTGAGGGGGTGTGGTATATGGCCAATATACCACGGCTAAGGGCTGGTCAAGTGCGCGACGCAGAGTGCCTAGATACAGCCTTTAGCCGTGGTATTTTGGCCATATACCAAAAAACCCAGAGGTGCCTTATTGCTATTATAAACTGTCTACCAACTATATTAGAGCAGTAAAAATAAAAATGTCATACCCGTGTTATACGGTCTGATATACCATGTCTGTCAGCCAATCAACATTCAGGGCTCGAACCACCCAGTTTATAATATGTTATAACTCATTCCTTACTCCTCAGTGAGCAGTCATCACAACACAACAATTTCTGAGAGGAGACTCAGGGGTTCTGGAGCCATTTTGGGTTGTGGTTGACCATCAAGATGAGTGCTGTGTTAAAACCTGTTTACTCTCTCAAAAACACACACACATATTTAACTCCCTGGTCTGTCTCTAGAGGTCCCCAGTCAACTGCTGTCCACATGGGAGCCAGTCTGTCAGGGACCTGAGTACTGGAGGACACACAGACACAGACAGACACACACACACACACTCACAGGGTGGGTGATGTCAGAGTGGAGGCAGTCTGTCAGGGGCTTGAGTCCTGGAGGACACACTCACACGCTGCCCACAGCTCATATGGAGCAGTTGGCGCCAAAAGTGCCCAAGCAGCCGGCCACATTCCCAGGGCAGAAGGTGAGGGGCAGGGGGCGTCGGGGTGAGGGGGGCATGGGGCGGCAACAGCTGACAGGCCTCCCCACCGTCCCAGAGACATCCAGGTAACAGGAGGGGAACTGGGACAAACATGGGAGGTTGACCACTATATGAGACACTGGGTCCTATAAAGACAACTTGAAGACACTGAGATCTTTCACCATCGCCCCTTGCATGTAGGGGGATATGTACACAACTAGAGGCAACTAGAACACAACCTCAAATAGTGATCCAAGAAAGTATTGTGAATGTAAATAGCAGAGTGGAATATGAAAGAAAGAATGAAAGAAAGAAAACTAGTTGGCGTGCAGCAGAGAGAGTGACCATGGTTGGATAAGATGTGTTTGACTCCAGTCTTCCTCAGTCTGTGAGAGCTGCAGGAGCCAGCACTGTTAAACAGCTGCACATTAATTACATGTGAAGTGTACCAAAACAAGCCTTGCTACAGAGGCCATGTGGAGGAAGACAGCTGGCATCTGGTTCCTCTTTCTCCTGCTCTTCTTTCTACTCTATCATGCGCTCTATAGCTTGACTCTCTCCCTCTAGTCTCTCTCTCCCTCTGTCCTTGCCCCTCTCTACGCCTCTCTCGCTCCCTCTCCCTTGCCTGTGTCACTGAGTGCCATCTCTTTCCCTAGGCTTTAGGCAGATCCCACTGAAGTGTTTTCTCCATCCTTCAGCCCTCAACCTATCCCCTTGGATCAAACACATCCCTTCTCTCACAACTTACCAGGTCCTCTCATTGCACGTGCCCCTCCTCCCTCTCTCCTAACTATACTCCAGAACTTTTCAATAGGATGTGACTCAGGTCTTATGGTGTTGTTCTGTTCTGTAGGGTTGTGAGTCAGTCAGGTACAGTGTGTTGGTCTCTGTGCTGTGATAAAGGTGTATGCTTTTCTAGGTTAGAGCTCGGATGTTCTCTTCTCTCACCATCATTCAACGGAGCTCAATCAACTAAACCTCACTGTTAAAAATAGCTGGCATCAACGGCGGCAGGTTCAGAATAGAAGGAGTTTAGTGGAGGGGTTAGTGTGTGTACTCAGAAGGAGGGGCCATGGGATAGAGGAGTTACCAGGAGACATTACTTATGTAATGTCACTCCTACCATCTATCTGTGGTATGACAGCCCTGTCCACTCAGTAATCTAACAAGGGACATATGGCCCCTTAGTAAACACTAATGGAATATATTCTGCAAACAGCCCTTTGCAGACAGTCCAGGCCTGGCAAAAAACATCAAAACAAAATCTGCTTCAGAAAAAGAGCTAACCCAACAACTAGAGACATGGCCACCTACAGTCTGTCTGGGAGAATACAGGTCAGTGGATGAAGCCAAAAGGGCTCCCATATACTGTACAGGGCCACAACCACACACCCATCTATCCACTGAATGAGATGTGGAACTTCTGGGAGATATTACACCATTATATATTGGCTGTCGAATAACAGACAGACTTGTAAACAAAATGTCCTCATGTTTGTGAGAGTTTACAACCAGACTACACTCCGCTGTACCTCCACCAGTGGAGCCGAGCTAGTTGTCATTCTGCCAGTTTTTCTGTTCCTCTGAGGTTACCCCATGTTTGTAACCCCCCACCCCCACCCTGGTGTAGTAGGGTATGTAAATAAGTTGTGCAGGCAGCTGGAGCTGAGCAGAAGCAGTAGACTGAGTTCTGTGGTTTCAGATTGGGGGGACGAAGGCAGAGAGGCAGGCAGGCAGGCAGGCAGGCAGGCAGGCAGCAGCCTGGGCTGAGCTGAGAAATGGGGTTTAGGGCTGGGGCTCCAGGGAGGCGCGGGGCCCAGGGGACCCACAGCACATGCAGAGAGAGGCGGGTACCTCCTGCCCACTGCTACACCTTGGGAGCCCCCGGCAACCCTGGGGAGGTGCGGCACTGAGAGGAACACCTGGACCTGCCATTAGTGACACACTGAGGGAGTAGAGCACAGACGGTGAGCAGGAACGGCGCACACACTGGCAGATGCACACACTGTACACACAGCGAGATACAAACACAGGCATACACAGAGTTACACACAGCGAGTGATAGAGAGAGGGAGCAGAGTGAAGGAGACACCTGGACGGCCCTGGTACTGTGACTGTGACTGTGCACGGTGAATAAGGACAGGATAATCACCCTTGTATTAATCTCTCTCTCCCCAGGGTGACACCAGAGCACCCAGCTGGGGTTCAAGGACACAGAGAGAGCTCCACCTCAACACTGTCATTACACCACCTCTACCTGTCACACAGACAGAGAGGAGGGGGGGGGGGGGGGACAAAAACAGGAATATGTAGAGGAATAGAGAAATATATTTTATAGAGAGATGTAGAAATGAGCAG